AGTCAAGAGGCATGACGTGCCTGGCTCCCTGGATGCCATCTAAGCAAATTATCAATAACAATGTTGATTTTTCTTAGCTGGCATTAAGGGAGTCATGCATGTCTAGCTGTTAGATTGACCGACCGATCAATCCTCATCATATAATGCGAAGTTTAAACCAATCATTTCTTACAGTGTTAAGTAACGGCTACATAAAAGTGTGCTATTTTGTTGAGATTCTTAAGATTGATGAGTTCTTTCTTTCTTAATTTATTTTGTATTCAATTTACAAATATTTATTGGGAATCTTTATGAAACTTTTTATAATTGGAATCTTTTTTATTATAAATTATTTTATAAAAATTGTGTATCGTTTAGTCAATAAAAAATCAAATAAATAGACAGTTTATAATATTTTTACTAGACCTATCTATATTTGTTTTTGTATAGTTTGATGACGAAAGGTTCTCTTTTTTTTTTCTCTTTTTTTGTTGCAAAAATGATCTTTATAAAATAATGTATAATATTCATAGTTCCAATAATAAGTTTAAAGTTTCATAAACCGGTCATGAAGTGAAATGTGAAGGAACTCCTCCTCAACCTTTGAGGCGAAACTCCACCTCAATTATTAAGAAGCCAAGTTAATTTCCTTTTTGGTTGATCCGCTAAAAGCCTCTCTCCTTTCTGTTTTCTTGCTTTTCCCTCTTGTTCTTGTTTTTCTATTTTTTTTTCCTTGTTTAAGAGTAAGCCAATGGGAATTGCCGTTCAAGTTGTCATCTATCACCATCTTGATTTGTAATTTAACAATGATGGTGAAGGGTACATTGGGCAGTAGCAACACAATGCCTTCTTTGTGTCTTTTTGTTTTATTATTAGGCTAAATTTTTTTCATGGTTATTGTGGTGGCATAACACAATCAATGTGACCTTTGTGATAAAATAGTTGTTAATCAAAGCTCTATGGTGAGTCCTGTTTGCAATTGAACTTCAAACTCAAACTTCTATTAGTATTCCGTTAAACAAACTCACGTGAATATTACGTAGCGGAGTCAAATTCGTCATTTCAATTTAAATTATATTTTATGTCAGATTTGGTGATTGATCCCGTCAAAATTTGGGGGGCCACCTCTTTTTTCTCCTCCATCACCTGGCAGACTGGCAGTGGTTTGCTTCCTTCTGCTCTTGAAATATCGAGTATTCAAATGGTGAGTGTGTTTGTATTAGGAAATGAGTGTGTCATTTTGTACTTTAGCAAAAGAAAGGTGTGTTTCTTAAAAAAAAAAAAAATTGCTCAACCAGTGAAACATATTTTCATATTAAAAAAGAAAAAAAATTCAATTGCATGTTTAGATTTAGGAGATACAATTGCTAGGGATCCATTGCCATGTGATGGATGAGAAGAAATGGGTAGTCCACCAAATTTCTAAGGGATCAATAGTTGAATATCATAGTGCATAATAAATAAGACTACAAAATATGAAGAATATTATTAAACTAACGAGAATGCCGAAACGGCTACAAAACTCTATGATGCTACATTGTGAATGACTTGTTCTCTAATGAATAACAAAGCACCCTATTTATAATAAACTAACCCTAATCTCTAACAAAACCTAATTCTAACGGGCTAAGTCCAGAAAACCAAACATTCAAATAAACGAAAATACTAATATTTTCCAACACCCCCCGGGTCAAACTCATGGCGGTATACGACATGGGTTTGCAAACAAGCATATGCGGAATGGCTCCGTTAGGCGGACAGACAAACAGACAGGCTCCGCAACGCTGACAAATAGGCAAATGGCAGATGGATATATATGGCAAAGAACAGACAGATTCAGGCAGACAGATTTTGTTTGAGCATGGACCTTGTCACTAAACGGACGAGATTCCTATAACCCAACACTTTTTTTTTCTTTTCTACTTTTTTTTATCCTCTCTCTTATTCTTTTTTCTTTTCCTTTTTTTCCCCCTTTTTCCTGTGGTTTTCTCCAGACAGACCCTGCAGAAAGCTGGGTTTCAAGCTTCGTTAGAAAACAATGCGAGTGCAGGAACAAGTGTTGATGCAAACGGATCGGACTGCAGCAACACGGGGCAACGGCGGCTACAGATCTGGGTGTGGGTGCAAGTGGGTTCGATGACGGTGGAATATGCAGATTGGTGTGACTCAAAGCAGGAGGTTCTGATCAGACAATGGAAACGGAAATGATTTCTGGGTTTCACGGCTTCGTATCCTACATACTTTTTCTTTCAAACTAAACCAAGGACAACTAAATCAGAACAAACAAACAACAAACAAACTGATACGAAAAAGACAAGACAAACAAACTACTAGCTACCAAGAACAGATTCAACCCCAAAGGATCAAACATGCTCTGATACCAAGTTGAATATCAGAGTACGTGATGAACAAGACTACAAAATATTAAGAATATTATTAAACTAACGAGAATGCCGAAACGGCTACAAAACTCCAAAAGGTTACATTGTGAATGACTTGTTTTCTAATGAATAACAAAACACCCTATTTATAATAAACTAACCCTAATCTCTAACAAAACCTAATTCTAATAGGCTAAGCCTAACAAACCAAACATTCAAATAAACCAAAATACTAATATTTTCCAACATCAATCACCAAATGAAACATAAAATGTAATTTTGATTGAAATGACAAATTTGACTTGTTCACATGATAGTCAAGTGAGTTTGATTAACGGAAGACCAACATAAGTTTTGATTTAGACTTCAATTGTTAATAGAGCTCATTAACAACTTTTTTGCCACAAGTGTTACATTAAAAGTGCCGTGTCACCACACAGACCACTAAAAAAATGAAGCCATATTTTTATAATAATTTACCCCTTGATTAAGCCTTGCTTTTGTAATATAATTAATGACCTAACCTAAATAATTCATGAAGAGTATGTCATGTTACCAAGTGTGTGCATGATCGCGTGACTCTTACTAAAGTGATTATAGTCATGGGAATGTGCACCTTGAGGCATCAAAATTTCCGCCCTAACTCGTAACACTTCAGCATAAGGCACATCACAACACAGAAAGAAAATTTTGAAGAGTAAATCACACAAATTAAAAAATGTGTTAGCAGTGTGCAGTATATAATTGCAGACTAAAAAATGTCAACTTTCCATATATAATTTATGGATAATGTTAGGCAGATTAAGTTTTTAAATTAAATTGTGTAAACCAAATAATGTGGTTATTGACGATTGAATTACTAATTAAGTGTCGATTACGTGCTTATTTTCTATTGATGATATATAATTTGGTTTGTAAATTTAGTTTAAAAATTTAGTTCCTCTAACATTATCCATAATTTATATACTAATAGGTTAATAGCACAAAAGAGATTATGACATTGTCGCATATAGTTTCACACATATAGCTAAGTAATAATTAGAATAGTGCAATTACAGGAGGGGTCTTGGAATGGTGGATGGGCTGTCCAGTTGTCGCCATATTTGCCCTTTAACCAGTTATGTGAAGGGTACATGTGGGCCACATGATGTGGCAATGCCTTACTTGTGTCCAATGTATTAAATATCGAGGATATCGGAAATATCGGTAGTTCAAAAATACAAAAATATCGATGGAAATATCAAGATATTATCGATATCGATAAAAATTGAATAAAAACCACGGAAATTGTAAGAAAAACTTGGAAATTTTTATTGAAACTTTGCAGGATGTTTATTTAGTCAATTATCTATTAGTTTATCACAAAAAATTGAAAGGAAATGCATTGCATGATGGATTTAACTGATTTAAGTTGATTATATAGCGAGCTGGCAAATATTGTGAATGTAGAAAATATGTAGTAATTAATGAAAGAAATTTAAACACACCATAATCATTTATATATAATGAATTAGTACAATATTTTACACTTTATACATTGTATAGTAAGATACATAAGTGACTTAGTACCATATAGAATTCCTATCAAGGTCTAAAATATCGATGATAACAAAAATATCGGTAGTCCAAAAATACGGAAATTTCGATGGAAATATCAGGATAATCGCGATATTTTGACGAAAACTCATTGGATACCCAATAAAATATCGGTAACTTAAAAAAACGAAAATTTCACCGATATTTTCAATATTTTGGTCCTTGCTTGTGTCTTTGTTTTGTAATTTTAAATTTACCCCTTTATTATTCAACTACACTTGCAGCTTAAGGCAATCTCCAATTACGGCAGGATATGTATATGGCACGATGTAGGAATGAAGGAGTGTAATTTTGAGGCTTTTGAATGTCTGTATATAGTAGGGATGTAGGGATGGGCAAATGTTATTTTATGGTGCGGAATTGAAGGTATGGATTGTCAGCCATTTTTGATTCCGAGAAGCTGAGGCGGTCATCTATCACCTAAGTTTTGAGGGTTTTTTTTTACTAGCTACTATTGGGCCTCTGTGGAGGATTTTTCTTTTTGAGTTTAAACGTATTTATGTTTTTTTCATTTATGTACTACTTTGTAAGTTAGTAGTGAACAATTATTACTCATGCTTTGTTTGCGTAAGTGACATATTCTTTCTATATGTATTACTCCATTCTAGGGCGCGTAAGCTGTATTTCTAATTTTCTACCATTTAGACTGCGTTTAATGAATGTTCTCTACCATGGAAAAAAAGGCAATCTCCAATGCTTAGTATTTCTCTCCGATGCACATGAATAAAATGTTTGCAGTTTTAGATGGTTGTGACTGAAACTTTCCTTTTCTTTCTCTCTTCGGGTTGATCATTTGGGGTTTTAAGTCGTGCAAATTGATATAGGGGTTTGAGTTTGAGATAATGTTAAATTTGAGTTCGCAACTTTTATCATCACTAGTTTCTTTTACGAGCTGTGGGCGGGTACTCATAGCAGAAAAGAAACTAGTTTTCCGGGCAACAGAAACTACAAGAATTTTGGGCAAAAGACACTGCCGAATAATTGAAGAATATTGGAAAATACCAATTTCCTTATAACATTATGACCTTAACAGAAAACTAAACATATTATGAAAATACAGGAAAGAAATACCATTCAGGCAATATTTCAATTGTAATTACAATTCATTTGATCTCTAAATGATGGTGCGGAAAATGAAACTAAAAGGTAAGAATTACTATTACTGTTTTTTTTTTCTCTCATAATAATACTACGATGGATAAGGCGAAAACGAGTGTGGAGAAGCTAGTACATACAATTAGTTATTAATCACAGAATGGTGCATATACTAGCAGGTTCGTGATCCGTAGGATAAGCCAACACCCATGGAGGGCAACTCGTGGGATTCCGTGGCAGTTCAAGCTCGTTGCTCTTCCCCTCCTTTTCCTCTTTCTTTTTCTCCTCCTCAGGGATCACACTCACCACCTCAGCATACTTCAAGCTTTTTCTAAGCGAAGTTGTGAGCACAACTACATCAACCCCTTCCCCCATTACCTCTATTTGTTCCTTGTCATGCTGATAACTTGCTGAGTTCACACCTGCATTATTAAACTTTAATTAGTAATAATTTGTAACTAAAGCTGCTTAATTGGGATTAGAGTTAATTTCCGGTATTTGATTAAAATTATTGTAGGAACACGGTTAACAAGTAAATTACCAGCTACCCCAACTGCAGTTTTCATAGCTTTGGCTCTGGTCCTTTCATCGGGCACAGACAACTTGATCACGACCTTTGGCTGCAAGCCAAAAAGAGCGATCAATTAGCATAGAATACAAAATTTGAATCAAATAATTTGCCTTTTCTTTTTCCAATGCATGTTCTTGCATGGACCTCAAATTTCAAACATACCTTCATGATCCTGGTTCTTGATTAACTGCGACGAAGATGAACCGAAGGTCTTTGAAGGTCTTCGGCCGGCTTTGAGAGATTGATGGGTCTAGAAGGATAGGGGTGTGTACTATTATCTTGTGTGTGAAAATTTGGTGAAGAGTGAGAAGGCTCTTCGATATTTATAGGCCTCTTGGGAGTCCCTGGTGAGCCAAGTGCGTTTCTGATGAGAAATGAGAGCACCATAGGCGGAAAAGGATCCTCGCCGATCCTTTTTTAGAGATCTCATGATCATTCATCGTATATCGTACGATTAGAAATCATTTGAAATTTAAAATTAAATATAAATAGCATCTAACGAAAACTGACCGTACGATGTACAATGATCACGATCACAAGATTTCCAGAATCCCCAAAAAAAGGATCCGGTGAAGATACTTCCTGGTGCCTGTGGGTCACATGTTTTTATTTTATTTTATTTTGGTCAAGAGGTTATTGATTGCGTCATGATATGGAAATTGGCTCTATCGTAAATTTGAGACAGTAACTTCTGCATTTTTTTTGTTCTGAAAAGTTAATTTCAGTAATTCGATAAAAGGTTACAAACAACACAAAGGAAAGTAAAATAATCCAAATACATTAGGAGGAAAATAGATACATAAAAGTTCAGCCCAATTAAATAAATTAAAATGAAAACCCAAATCCCTAATCTTCACCAACAGAATGCAGTGTCTGCCATTGTCATCGCCATGAAAGTTTGTCAGCAGTTACTGCAGCAACACTACAGAAAACGACCGAATGGTGAAAACGAACAAGACATCGAAGCACAAAAGTACCAAACCTGCAACTAGAAGCACACCACGTCCATATTTCTTCACTAAAGACACAAAACCAAAAGATAGTCACCAGATCCAAATCTCATTCATGAATCCTTGCAAATATATACAAACACAGTAACACATGGATAGAATGTGAGGCTAACAGGATATGTAAAATACCCTTACTTTGGCCGAAGCTGCAGTGCACTTGGCCTCGGTGGAAATCTGGCATGCCGGTTGGGGGACGGAAAGTGAGGGAGAGAAATAAATTTGGCAACCATTGTTGGATATATGTCAACAATCTGTGATTTAATTATATATATGCTAATAAACTATAAATGCGAATATAAAAATTATTGAACAGAGTATGAACAACGAAATAAATTTAAACAGAAAAATTGAAGATCGAGGCTTGCATACCGCAATGTCCTTGAAACAAAAATTTCGTCCCTACTCAGTGCTTGTAGTTCTACGGACGTCTGCTTCACCAGGATTCAAAGATCAAGTTAGAATTCCATCACTGAAAAACTTAACTTCTGGCGAATTTCTGTGTGGTTCCCTCAGAAATGATGTTTGTGATTGTAGAAGAAGAATATTGATTTTCTGTATCCTAAATGCCATGCAGATGGATGTATATATAATAGAAGGATGTTTGTTCGCAACAGGTATGAGAATGGGATGTGTCTGTTGGGAGACATCTTCTCCAGAGAGGTGCTTTGCTTTATGTTCTTTCTGAATTATTCAGACTTCATCTAAAAGGATGAGTCTATTGGTAAAAAATAATTAATTAATTAAATTTGAAATTAATTAAAAATAATTAATTAAATCCTAAAATAATTAATTAAATAATTTAATTATTAGAGCCCCAGCCCAATGCCCATCTTTTGATATATATATATATATATATATATATATATATATATATTAATTACCAATTAATTAGTGCACCCCAAAGCTCACCTCTAAGGGTGAGCCCAATTTTATTCTCCAAACCTATTACTCTATTTTCTATAAAGGACAAAATCTTATAAAGTGATAAAATCTTTTAGGAATGACCAATGTGGGACAAAGAAATTTCTACTCAAACTACTCAAATTTCCAACAATACCCTACATTTGAGTTGAAATTTCATTCAAACTCCAACAACCATATTCAACCCGGAGTCTACAAATTCAGAGCAAAGGATGGGATGGGGATGGTACTATGGATTTTTGTAGGAAGGACTTCACCTGTCAATATATGAGCAATAATTCATGTGGTGTATGAGTGTCTAAACGCAGTTTTCACTTCGTTTTCTATTGAAAACCTTTCATTTTATAAAACTTATCCGATATATAGAAAGCTAGTTGTTACATCTCACATTTCAGTCACTCAACTGGTTTTCTCATGCCCATGAATTGGGTAAGTTCATGAATACATCTTCCACACAAACCTTTTATAAGGGAAAATAAAAATTTGTCATCAAAAGTGCTTGTAAAACATGAGTCCATCACACGATTAGTCCTAATATCTCCACTTTATATGCTTATGAAAGAACATCAGTGGCACAAATGTTAAAATTAAAAAAAAAAAAAAAACCTAGTGCTAGATTATATATTCAATTTAAGCCCTTGAATTGTAATTCTATTAAAATTTATATTCTATTTTTGTTATTTTTTTTATTTAATGTCTCCACATTAAAATTTTAATTATTAGTTCTTTAATTATAAATGAACATAAATGAGAAAATATTAAAAGAAAGGGTTAATTAGGGACACATATGACATACCGAAATATGTAAATTAACTTATTTGTACCGAAATATATTATAAAGAACCAAAACATATGTACCGAAATGTATTATATTGAACTAATGTACCTAAATGTCAATATCGAAATGTATGTACCGAGATGTATTATATTGAATTAGTGGATGCACGATACTGTGTGGAGTAATGTTGAAGCTGTTTAAGGCTTTTCAACTAACGTATTTCATACAAGAAGAGAAAAAATGAAGAAAAATATGATAGAAGAAAATAGAAGAAGTATGACGAGGATGTTGTAGTTTATTTTACTTTAGCTGTTTATAGAAGTCAAATACAATATACAAACAAATATATATGAAGTTGAGGCCAAAAACAGCAATGACTCAATTCTGATTTCGACACTAATTGATGATGAAGGTCAATATGATCATGGTCATGGACTAATACGACTTATGCATTCACACTCACTTTCTAATTTCTAGAGGAACTTAGAAAAGTAAGGCGACAATCAATGACCTTACAATTAAAGAATTTCCTGACAGCAGACGCACTAGTTATTCGTAAGCAATTTCCAACTGTTCGAAAATTATTTTCGGCGTTCATGAAAGATAAAGCCACCCTTAATCAGGAGAAATTCTGGATTCAGCAACCAAATTACATGTTCGTCCGAATCCAGGAATAAAAATGGAAGTACCTCTCTCTCCCTAGTTTCTCATCCTAACCTTTTGGTCCTATTCCCTCTCATAAATTCTCTAATCCGACACCCACAGAAGACCTTGACCTTAATTAGCCCAAATTTGAACTCGTCGTGGTCGTCGACCGATCCGTCGTTTTTCAGTCTGTATTTGTCCACTGACTCCCCTTTCTGAAAAGCCGAGGGGTGCTTACTAAGTTCGGCCTTGACCCAATTGACTCGTCAAAAGGACAGCTATAAGATGAGATGAAGAGTTCAATGAAAGTTCTGTTTGTTAAAAAAATCTCTTTAGTATTTGCCAAGAAAGAGCGACGACCCGGGAGCAGATTCCCCGGGGTAATTTACTTCTTTAATTCTCAACTTGATTGAAGTCCTCTACTCAATTGGAATTTGGAATTACCCTTGATATAGAGGCTGCCCCGAAGGCAAAGGTGCTGCCCTTATTTTGAATTCTTGCAGAAATTTTGTTATACTTTCGAAATGAAAATCGACATTTAATATTTATTTAAAGTTACAAATTTCATTATTTATCTTAAATAACAAAAAATGGGAAGGCAAAAATGAATATACAAATGACAAAAGAGATACTAGGGGACCAACTAACTCCTAGTAATCTTTTTCAGCTTCCGACTCATTGGATTTTCTTGGTTCACGTATTTAGGGGGACAGGGGGTTCTATTGGGGTCTGGCCTGGCCTGGCTCTTTTCAATTGCTATGAATGGGGAAAGGTAGGCTGAATTAACAACCGCAGTCTGAGTTCTTATGTACAATCAGACTCGCCTAATCCTTTATGACATGAGCTAAGTTTTTCCCTCTTAGTTGTAATCTTATATTTTATCAAACACGTCTTTTTTTTAATTAAAAAAGACCAACTAACTTCTTGTTAATTATAAATAAAAAAGAAAGGAGGAATGAATGTGTCAAGTTACTTTAAAATGACATTAACCAACCTTGAAATCGACAATGTAAAAATGTTCTTAGAATTATCCTCATCATGATTCCTTCATAAACCCAATAGGAGTATTTCATTTAATATGAAGAAAAGTAAGCATATATGAATATAATGCGAAAGTAAACAGGTACTAACAACATCACACTCTTTATTGTTGTAATATTATGATTATGGTGTTGTTGGCCCTAAAAACTACCAAACCTACGTCGCTGTTGACCCTAGAAACTACAAAACCTACGTGGCGCGCATGCCGAGTAATTAATGAGCTAACTACGTCCTTCGGTGAATGCGGGGCGTGCCAACTCGTCGGCCGAGCTCGGCCGAGGAGTAAATTTGTTGATGTTGCGTTGGGTCGCGCTACTGACTTCTGCGTCTTGCGATTGCGGCCGAGAAAGGAACACGTCTCGGCCTCTTGGGCTCTCGAACCTGAAGACAAGGTTACTATTCTTACGAAGTTCAATATCAAATTCGGCTTTCAATGTGCCGAATGTAATAACTGTAACACCTCAATTCGCTGAGAAGGCTGATGAGATGACCTCGACCAATAAGGATTTAGAAACCCTTCTCGACCGAGACTTGGATAGGTAATCAATCTTTTTCGCCGCAGTGCTGTTGATGCCAACGGAAGATACTGCGAGACCGACTGACTCTACGGTGACAGAGCTATCTATGCCGACTTTTCCACAGTGCTGTTGATGCCAACGGAAGATGTGTCAGCGAAAAAGGAAGAAGAAAAATCACAAGTTGTGAGAGTTTGCGCAGGGCAATTTTGTATTGATTTTGTGGGGGCTTCCACAGTTGCTGAATGGCTTGTATTTATAGTAGCAGCACATCGAGCCCGAGTTCCAATCCTATTCGGACTAGGTCTCCTTCTCCGGATTAACATCCCCTCGATCAGTCCTATCTCCGCTAGGACTACGAATCTAGTCCTTAACTGAGCCGGATTCGCTTTCTAGATTATTG